GTGGGTATAAAGAGAGAAAAGAGCATAAATGAATCTATGCCAACTTTGGCCAGCTTTGATTAATTTAAATTAACAAGATTTAGGGTATGCAAAGCATGTGAGTCGATTAATTTTACAGAATGCAATGAAGCAGACACATATATATAACACATTTTCTGGCAATGAAAATTGCGACATCATGAAGTATACATGCCGTATGGGATTTTGCTGCCAGGTAATTATGAATAGCCTGCGTGCCAGACCCCAGCACTTAGAACAAGGAGCTTAAGTCCTTGCTTGGAATAAAGAAAGTGCTTCTTCTTTCTGAGACTCTTGACCGGGCCTCTATACTGCCCAACACGCCACAGTTTCGGAGCTGGCTTCCTTCTTCAGTTTATCTAGACGTATAAATTAGACCCCAGCTGCAAATTCTGTGTTCCAGGCGTGAGATTTCCCTGACTGAATTGAGTATCGTGGCACAGGGGCCTGGCACCCAGGCTACACTGTTTCCCGGCAATGACATCATAGTAAATATGGTACCGTATTTCAAAACACGCAGCTTTTCATGAAAGAAGTACTATAGATATGCGAACATTGCCTAACCATCGTGGTTATGTACAATATTGCATGATGATGAAATAAGGATGGTTAGGCACTCACCAGGTATTTTGTTCCACTTTTCGATTGTATTCTTGAGTAACTGCTGTGTTTGTCGTCATGTAGAGCTGAAAGAAACAGTGTAGAACAGGTTAGCGAAGTTTGTTCCATTCTAGGGTTGCGTTATTCAGCATAGTTCGACAGCGTTCAGCTTGACTGCGGATGTGAAACTTGACCTTATTATAGTTTAAGAGTTTGACTTGTTCCAACACAAAGAAGAAACTCACCATAAGGTTGACGGGTTGACGGGATCAGCCGAAAATTTATGGTGAGTTTCTTCTTTGTGTTGGAACAAGTCAAACTCTTAAACTATGTATTCTACCAACACAGATGAGCTTTCATTCGAATATTGACCTTATTATGTTGGGATGTCAGAATACGGGGAAATAATATCAAGTTGCAATTGTGTGAATTATATTAAGTTGTTAAAACCAAAATGGTGTTGACCTAGAGATAAGTATACAACGTACTGAAACCGCCTCTGTGCACTGAGATGGTCTCCGCTGTTCGGAACCCTGCGTCGTTGGCAGGTGCGGTCAGTTTAGCACGGACAGGGCATAACCTTATATGCCGGCACTGGTGTTCAGTGTAGAACAGTAGGTGTCCCTCTCTGCATGTCTGAGGTTTACTGGAAAGAAAGACAAAACAACGCCCGGGGTTACTGATCAGGAGAGCCTTGACGGAGAGAATTAAGGGTAAGGCCGGAAAACCCCGGCGGAACTGGGCGTCAGGTGGCTCAAACTTTACATAAACCAGAATTCCAACGTTCTTTCATACGTCGGACGAAAGAAAACCAGCCGCTAAAACGAGCAGCTATAAAAACAATTCACTAACACACTGATCGTCGATACCTGATAAAGACCGGTTGGATTTGTAATGAAATACTGACCGAATTCTGTAAAGCAAAATGGGCGGAATAAACCACACAAAGAACAAGATGAGTGAAGTCAGAAAAACGGGTGTTAGAATCTTCAAAATACATTTCCAAAAATAATTTCATCAGGTATTATACTAAATTAAAGTGAGTGCTAAATTACTCCAGAATAGCCTGGCAGCCAGACCATGTATGCTTCCGGTATCTCACGGTGGTGCTGGCAGCACTGCCCGCCCGCCCAGGGGAATTTTATGCAGGGGTATTTTACCGGGTCGGTTACAGGACGACAATAATTAGAAACTTTCAAAGGCCAGCTGGAAAGATTTGGCATACCAGCAGAGTATGGCTGCCAGCTGGGGCCTGCAAAATATTCCTAAGCCACTAATATGAACAGAAAGGTTTTGTCGGAAAGGGTAGAATATCAAGTAAGGCCGGTGGAACTTAACGTCATGTGGCACACACTTTTAATGTGAAAGCTCCTTGATCAGTAAACTAAAATTCTCTCTACGCGTGTGGTAACCAGCCAACAAGCAACTTTAAACTTTCTCTAACTCAGTGATCGACAATGATGTATCAATCAGTCATAATATAACAACACCCAAATTCTGACACCGGAACTTTGAAGACACAATCAAGTACTGTACTTTGCTAACATCACACAAATAAAACGTTTAAGTCACGCTGACTACATGATCGATACTCTGCGCGGCTGATATATACGGCCATCGAATCAGTTAACAAGAATTTGTAATTCAAAATTTCCCCAAACCACTGCAAGTGATACTAGTACTAGGAACAAATTAGTCAATAAGCTGCTAGTAAAGAAAGGGGTAAAGCCGATTAGATTCTCTGACTAAGCGCCCCCATTTTATGCCCTTGTAACACGCCTCATTGAAGGCGAAAAACCTATTCTAGTTTTCTACTCTGAGGCTCAGTTTTTCCAAGGTTAGTAGAACTGTTCCTCCTTGGCACTATAGGTCTGAATCTTTGTCAGAAACTGTGGTGTACGTGATAAATGGCGTCACACATATACTAAATAGTGATGACCCATTTAAAACCACAATAAGGAAATACCCGGGACACAACAACATAGCGAGATCCAAGAACACCAGAATAACATAGAAAAAAATGTAGAAATCTAAAAAAAAGTCTGCTTGAAAAATACCAAGAATTTCAAACAGAAGTAGACGAAAGTTTACTTCACATTCGTATACAGAGTACTCGTACAAAGCACATACTAGTACACGAGAAAATAGCAAGTGGGTCAAGGAACTGTTATGAAATACGGGCGACTGTCGGTCAAGATACTAGTAGCCTGGTAGCCAGACAAAGGCAAACTTCCCAAAAATTTCTCTACGTATACGGTGACGGGTGATCAACCCGCCCAGCTAGTTCAGGATATAACAAGATGTAGGTTTGTTGTCCACAGTCAAGTTAAACACTTAACAAATAGACATGTGACACTGCAAAAACACGGCTGTGATAGCAAAATTTACACAGATACGATTATGGCATATTTCAACATAGGAAGTACCATTAAAACATACCTTTTCAATAGCTTCAACCTGTCCTTCGTAGGTTCATCTGTACCTCTACGGCTGGGGGTACTGTCCGCCCGCCCGGCTGCCCGCTCCCCGCTGGCCCGCCCGGCCGTCCGCCTGCTCTCTGCTCGCCCGGCCATTCCTGTCCGATCTGGTCCCCGCTCGCCCCGACTATCCAACATATAGGAAGGTGTACCAAAGGTTAATGGGTTTTCCGAATTCAGAGATTTTTACACTTTCCACTCGGTTGAAAACAGTGAGTCGTTCATTTGCTTGCAATTGATAGGGTCTATAAAGTAAAGAAGGCTGTAGAGCATTATTATTATGAACATATAGGAAAGTACACAAAACATTTGAGAATATAGAGATTTTGGCCCTTTAGTAAGATACATTTTGCTATCTATAAGAGCAAATAGTTTCATGGACAAATCAGTACAAAATAACCTACAAGTGAACGTTCTGAAACATATCTTACAGCATTTGTGTGCACACATTTAAGTTACCCAACAAAGTAATACTAACCTGATTCTGTCGGTGGAATTCCGAAGGTTTACTGGGGAAGGTTTCCTCAGAAGCCACGGGAACGGTCCTCTTTTCAAGACTATTAGATCATCGCATCAGAGAACACGTCTGTTCCATCACACAGCTACAGCCGGACTGAGGTTTGGGACTGGAGTTTGCAAGAAGAGTCTGGAAACTCGCCCCCTAGTCAGTATCATGTTTCCTAGATCCCATCCTATTGGCCTATCTTAGAATAACAGTAACCTAAACTGCGGGTATCCATTACCTCAGAGTAATGTACACCGGGCTATCCAGTGTCCAGCGTGATTAATTATTGTCACCTGTCATCCCACACACCATGGATGGAGAGCACAGGTTCAAGCAAAGGTCAACGACCCCTTGAACAGGGATCTGGCCCGCGAGGAGTGGGTTTATCACACAGAGAGAAGAAATTATCTGTATTTTGGGAACCCAGGATAGGTCAAAGAATCAAAAGTTAAGTCCAGTTTCTGATAGAGTGAAGTGGAAAGTGTTCAAGCGGGAACTTCACCATATATTATAGTAAAGTAAGTAAGTACATGTATGTCATTATATCGCCAGGGAAGAACGGCTGATTTCTCCTATACGTGTCTTCGGTATGTAAGGGTGCGGTCAAGGTCAACGCCAAATACCTGGTAGCTTGAGTGACCTCGGTTCCAATGGGTGACCCTTACAAGTTCGTAAGATAGCTGCCGATGTTGTAGAAAGTCCTACCCGCTCGCATTAGATTTGGAGTCTGCGGAGGATATCATCTATAAAATTTACTAGCTGTGGCCTAAATTATATGTGTACGTATATGAAAAGAACAATTGTATCAAGAACGGAACAGATTAAACACAAAATCGTCGCCTGTGTTTTTTTAAAAACATCATACTTGTTGTTTATAATGATGCCTTCATGATTCAGAGACCACCCATATTGTGATGGGGGTTAATTATAGTAATTAAATCGTTAGCAAAACAATGAAGTTAAAGAGAGTTGTCATTTTCTTGATTAGAGTTGTTAATTCCTTAATTACTGTCCCATTCACAGAATTACAGTGCAAAGGTGACTCCACAACAGATCTGTACTGGGAGTCTTGGGCAGGTGGCTTTAGCGGTAGTCCCAACACTCCGCCCAAACGGACGTCCACCTCCTCCATGCCTGCCGACTTTGGTGACCGCGACCCGCCGCAGACGCCAACTCTACGCACCCCGGACCGCCGCGCTTCGGACACCCGCGACCGTACCCTGTACCCCAGTACCGGGGACTCAGAGACTTATATATCAGAGGACGACGAAGAATTTCCATCGTTCCTGACGAACGCGGGAATGACTCCGCCGTCCACGCCGACGATTCTAACCCGTCGCCCGACCCCTCCCGCGACCCCGCCGCTCAGGGTGATCCAGAAGGGGAAGATGAAGACCCCCGGCACCCCCCCGCCCTCCAAGAGTAACCTCCAGCTGCCAGAGTACCAGCTCAACCCCCTGACCAGAAGTAGATCACACGAGGCACAGCTTACCCACAGGACCACAAACAAAATAGAAGATTATAATGTACTCGTAGGAGGAACCCTACCCAAGTAAGTATTGAAGACTTTTGTGTTTGAAGTAATTTTTGACTTTCAGTAGATTTTGAAAATTTTGATGTTTTGGAGCAAAAGTTTACTTCAATGTAGTATACAAGGGTTGGACCTAGATTCCATGGTCCAGGCATATTACATTCGGGAGGGTCTTACTATCAAGAGAATTCCTGTCATTTGTGGTCCTTTAGTTATATTTTCTGTTTTGGACGTGTTGTTGTCTTCATCTTCATTTTTTGGCGGCTTTTGGGGCAGTAAAGAAATAGTATAGCTTTGGGACTTCTAGCAGCTTGTTTTGGAACTTTGTGAGGTATTTATGTCAGAAATGTTAGAAGAGGTCAATTCAAGAAATTGTCATGATTTTTATTTCAACAGGAGAGGGAAATCCAAACCAAGCAACCTGAAGATCCAAGACAGCATGGGAGGCAGCTGGGAGACCGGCCTGCAGAATTCTAAAGGTGTGTCTGAGTCGGAGAACCGCCTGAACACCAGACACTCCTCCCCCCTCACCTCTCCTGTCAGGAGCTCCTCTCCTGGGCCTTACTGGAACAACCCTACTGCTGAGGACTACACCAGTAGATCAGGTCAGTAATGTTAGGTCATATCCGTGAATAGTTTCATCAGGTTGGTTAGTCAGTAAAATACTAAAAAGAGTCTTTTTACACAACCAAGACTTTTATTCAGCGGACGTTTCAGTGACCGTCATCATAGCCAAACACTGTAGTGTTACTGTAGTGCGTTAAAGGTTGAAACGTTGTTTTGTTTCAGCAACGCTTCCAGTCATGCCACCTCGATCACCAGGTGCCAGAGTAGGCAGGAGCATGGGGCATTCCATCAACCACAGGTACTGGAAATTAGCAAATATATACTGTTTATTACAGTACTGTAAATCACTTTATATTTGTGGTAGCAAAATTTCGTGGTCTGAGAAAAGTGGACATGTTCGCGGTTTTGGCAGATGTACATATTTTTAAAGAAGAAAGAAAGTCAGTGAATTATTTATTCGCGGTGATGATAACTTTGCGTACAGAAGTGACGCATAAAGTACCGCAAATATAAAGTGATTTACAATATATACCTCTGTAATTTAGCTTTCGTACACCTAATAGAACTAAATATATAATTTCCTAGCTATGATTGTTATTGCTAGAGTGACTTCTTTCCTAAGGCACCTCTCAAGAAAATATTCACAGGTGGCCAATATCTATAGACAGTCAAGATTCTAGAGTCACTCTAAGAAAACTTTTTCTGTTCCAGATGGGTGAAGAACCAGTTCTGGATGACTCAGACCTGTTTCTACTGCAATAAAGCCATCATGTTCAAAGGTGTCAAGTGTAAGGACTGCAAGTAAGTGTCTCTTTCCTCAATTCAAGCTCATTTCCAGAATCTGCATGCAGATGTTAGTGTAGAAGGTCATTTTCTATGAGAAAAAAATGGCCCGTCAGAATGCCAAGCAGAAATTTGGGTTAAAAATCATTACGATTTTAATGATTACCGTATGATCAAAATCATTATGATAAAAAGGAACAAAGGAGGAAAAAGAAATTGTTGGTTCTAACATAATGTTACAACTGTACAAATGGCTCCCTTAAAAATAGTTTGTTTTTTTTCAAACTGAAGCAACCACAGTTAAGATTGCTGCAGACTATAGTATAGTGCCTGTTGTAGTTGTGTAGAAAAAAGTTGCTTGCTAAAGTGAGATGTTATTTTCTTATTGTCTTTTAGGGTTAAGTGTCATCAGAAGTGTGCACAGAGAGCGCCACCCTCTTGCGGTCTTCCCCCAGATCTAGAGAAAGTCTTCCGAGATACCTTACAAGGTATGGTATGGTGGGGTTAGGGATAGGTCCATCTAATCAAGTCTGCTATCTGCACCTTAAAAAGATTGCTGTTACTTGTCTCTGATTGGCTAGGAACAAGCTGTTTAAGCGTCTTATTGGCTAGACACAGGCCAATCAGGCAACAGCATCACGTCATGTATATTGTTTCAACTAAGTTATAGTTTGTGAATAGTTTTCCTGATAATATTGCACCCCCATTTTCTTGTCTCCTCTCACGTTATGTTCCAGGCTTCTTTCATGGAACATTTTGTAATTCCAGAGTAAGTTTGCAGGAAAATTTCTGACAACTTGCTATGTTGCAAGTAACAGGAAGAAAAGGAGCCCACACTTTAAATGTCTTTATGGACACTTCCACTACAATGGCACTCTGATATTCTCTGCCTCACTTGTTGCATGTACTCTCACTTCCTCAGCAGGGACAACAAACTCTCCTAAGTTAGAAAGAAAGCCCATACCAACAGGTATCTGCTTCTTTTGTGTCTTTTCTTTCCTTTTAACCTTTTCTTGCCATGCATGTACTAACATTTGTTTCACATTTCGTTTGAAAGGCAAATCTTTATTTTGAATTGACTTGCGGGATTCTGAGTTGTATTTGTTTGTTTGAGATGATTTTTTGAATCCCTCCACCCTTGTTCATAACTTTTCCCCTGATTGCTTTCTTACTATTTTCATTTTTGCCTTTGATTCAGTTGTCAATATCTTTTGGCAATGCTTCAGGAGCAGAGGCATTGTTTTTGCTGGAACTGAAAGCTATTGACATCAGCCTATGTGTCCTATACATGTATCTCTTTGTTGTTTATTTTTTATTAGGGCACAGTCCTGATCTAAATACAGACATCCACCCTAACAAAGTCCACAGGACGTCCTCGGAGCCGTCCTGTGCTGAGCTGAGAGTGAACCAGAACCAGACAGCAGACCATGTGGGGTCTGTCGGAGCCTGGACACACAATTCTGCTGACTACAAGTACAGGACATGGAGTCATAAGGAGAAAGTTAGGGTCAGTAAAAATGGATAGTTTAATTCACAGGTTTTAAATTCCATTTTTCAAAGAAAATATTCAGTCTTCATTAGATACACTCATGAATAATTTCATCAGGTTGGTAAATGATTTAATTGCAAAGGTTTTTTTTCACAATTCTTTATTCAAAAGTTGGCTCTTGTTAAAAAGTGCTTGTGAATAAAGAACATAAAGAACTTTCATCATTAATTTCAATATTATCTCATTCATTGAATGTAGTTTGCTGATAGGAGACTTATGTTTCCACAGGATCAGATGCAGGTTCCTCCTTTCCCCCATGGAGACTCCAGCTCCAACCCTTCCTCCACAACCTCCTCCACACCCTCCAGTCCCTTCCAGCCTTCCTCCAGCGACTCCCAGCCGTCTCCCATGACCAGGCAGGCCTTCAGGTTCCCAGGTAAGCCAGTGGTATAGCAATGCCTCCTGGCAGATTTGTTCTGAATTGCAGCAGCTTGTTTTGGCACAGCATGTCACAGTGTAGTTTTATTGCTTTGGTTTATTTTAAAAGTGCTGCCTGTATCTATCATTCTTTACTATTGCAAAATGTTTTTTTTCAGGCCTTGTACTCAAGACGTCTATTACAACATGCTTTCTTGTAAAATATTTTTCCCCAATATTTCAGATGTAACATCAAGCTTGTCAGGTTCAGAGGTGGACAGTCAAGGAAGAGGAGACATCATTTTAGACTGTAAACACCTGTGAGTATACAGATGCCAAGTAGATAGCATTTTATCAATTTTTCCTCTGAATTAACCCTTTTGAATTCGTGGATCTAGGAAACAGCAAGAGGAAGATATTTGTACCTAGAGTGTCATGTACAGTTTTAATGTACTGTCTTCCCCTCAGGACTGACACAGTAGACACAGTGAAGAGTGAAGACACCGTGAAGAGTGAAGAGTCTCAGGGTAGTGACAAGACAGAAGTAGCCGATGTAAGTGCACCTGTTATCTCTTCATTGTATGGTGAACTTGTCCATCTACATGTCAGACAATGATGTTGCGTGCTGGCGTTGTGTTTAGGGTTGCTGACACAGAATCTAGTGTATAATACACAGCTGTACATATCGTACAAAACAGGTGGCTTACACATTATGGTGGTTTACCAGCTATGCAATACCTACAGATTAGGTAATCACAAGGTATTTTTTTATACTTCCATAGAGCGATACATTGAAGACCCTACAACAAGTGGATTCTATAGACAGTGATGTGGACCCAATGGAAAGAAGTTGGCCCACACGACAGAACAGCGTAAGTCAAACTTTAATTTTACTCAGCATGTATTTGAATTTTTTAATGATACATTAATTTGTGTTTTATGAGTCTTGTGTTTTATGAGTCTTGTTATGTATTGTGATGTTTTCTTTGGATGTTGTTGTTTTCCCCTGAGTTATGTAGTTAATTGTTACAGTTCTCTTTTTTCATGAACCATTCTTTCTTCTCTGTGTCTTCTGTTTCTTTGTGTTCCGTTCTCTCTCTCTCTGTTATTTCAACCTACACACTCACTGCAGAAACACTTGAGTCACATACTAGACTCCCTGAAGGTAACTTCCATTCTAAGGCAACACCAATTGACTTTTTTGGTTTTCAGATTGTAAAGAACAATCCTAAACAGAAAAATTTACATGAAAACAGAGACTGTGGGGAAAGACTACACCTCGTCTTGGCCTTTAATTTTTACATTTAAAACGCCAAAGAACCAAGAAAAAATTGGTGTGTCCTGAAGCACACCTATCCTTCTTTACTGTTCTGTTTTACTTGTGATCACATAGCTGTAGTGTTTGCCATTACTATAGTGCATCTTACCTTTTGCGCTACTAATACATGTATAACATACAGCTGCAGTTCCCATGCATTCAGCTAGGTGGCAATCAAATATCATGGTGAAGCTAATGTATGACATTGTAGTACAACACATGCATCCCAATAAATGTTAACGAAGACAATGTTCCAACTAGTCCCTCTTGATTCAGATTTTTGCTTCACAGCTAACAATACTGAAACCATCATAATTAGTTTTGCACTAAATATTAATATCATAGGAGAAATATAGAGAAATAGAAAATTTTGTTCCATTCCATTTGCACTCTGTCCCATACACAAATCAAGGCGTCTATTTATCTCTGCACTTCCTAATATAGTTCATTTGATTCTGTGAAATACCAATAATAAAGCACAGTCTGTATACCTCATCACTATAAGCAAGCACCCTGTTTCCCTGAAAATCACTCCAACCAACCTGTCCAACTGTACACAGCACTTTTGCAAACCTGTGGAAAATTTTGCCTGGAAAATTGCATGATGTTTGATTTGAGTTCAAAAGGCACCTGTGCATGTTGCTACCCACCCTTAGGACCCCCAAGAACCCCCGGGACGAAACGACTGGAGATGGCACCAGGTAACCCCCACCTCACAGGGCTAAAGGTCAAAGGTTGAGACTCACAAGGGCTAAAGGTCAAAGGTTGAGATTCACAAGGGTTAAAGGTCACTTGATGGAGCTAGGATAATCTGTAGATTTGTTACTAACCCAACTTTACCATTATTTGTGAAGTGAACAGAAAAAGTGTCCTATCAAAACGTTCTGAGCCAGCTATCAATCTTGTATAACTGTATAAAGACTGTAAGCAATGTATGAAGCCTTTGTAGCTGTCAATACCTGAATTTTGATCTTTTTCATGATCAGTTATTAACATATAAGAACCTAAAATTAATGTCATGCAGGGAATTATTAGTATAAACAGGTGTCAGGATAAGATAACCATTTAACACATTAACTAAGATAAAATATGTACTTAAAACATGTGCTTATAAACACAAACTGAATTTGAACACCAAGTGAATATGAACAAACATTATACAGTAGGTAACCTTTGAAATACCATGTCTGTGGTGTTCAGCACTATATTCTTCATACAAGTTTGCAAATTGAAATCAGAGGTTTTTGGACATCATCTAGAAGACTCAAAATGTCCTTTGTTGGGTTAAAATGTAAAAAAAAAGATATGTGTCCTGAATTTGTTTCTTCTTTGACTTTAATCCTGCAGAGGTCCAGTGTGCTGTCAGAGTGGGATATTCCATATGAAGAACTGGAGATCCAGGATCTCATAGGAGCTGGGAGGTTTGGCAGGGTGTTCAAGTGAGTAGTACAAACACGCCTCCTAGCAGATTATGAAGGAACTGCAAGTGCAGTTTGCCTTATTGATGCAATGATGCCACTTAGGAATGCCTTTTGGATAACAAGCTCATCTTTTTATACTATACCTATCCAACATGTATTTATGCTTTATACTTTCTAATGCATAAGTTAGTGTGAGAATTTCAATTTAAAAAAGGTAGTAGTTGTATGTGTCATCAACTGATGGTTCATAGGAGTTAGGCATTTTACATTAATTTTGTAGTAACAAATATTTTCACAGCAGTCACTCAAAGTAATGCTGACATTTCTTGTCGTTTCCTTTGCTAAAGGGGAAAATGGCACGGGGATGTTGCAATCAAAGTCTTCAACATCGAAACAGATAACGACCTGCAACTTGCTAGTTTCAAAACTGAGGTGAGTACTATAAAGCAAAATTTTTGTCTTAAACAGTTTTGATGTTTTTGATTATGAAAAGGAAATATTTGAATATGTTTTAAAACCATGTGCTTATCATTTTTAAAACCATCACTTTCAGGTTTCAATGTTTAGGAAAACGCGACATGAAAACTTAGTTCTGTTCATGGGTGCCTGTATGAAGCTACCACATCTAGCTATTGTAACTAGGTAATGGAAGACCTCATGCACTGTATATGTCATGGAAAGGTACTCCATATTAGTACTGGTCAGGAATAGTTAAAGGACTGTTACAGGATAGCCATTGAAATCTCTGTTGCTTCATGTCTTTTTAAGTACTGTAATACTTAGTGTTTTTATTGTAAAGTACATGTACCACCATATCTAATGTTTTTATTGCAATGTTTTGGTTATGCAATCTGATTAAACATGTTAGAATAGATGAAAAAAGGAGCAGATTCATATTCAAGATGCCATGTTTTGAGGATTAAAGTTGTAAATCGTATACTTAACTTAAACATTGGTTGTAATTTGTTTGTCCACAGTTTATGTAAAGGAAAGACGTTGTACGACACAGTACGGGACAGAAGAGAGACCCTGAATATGAGTAGGATAGTCAACATAGCAACGCAAATAGCTCAGGTAAGCTGATCTTGTCTATTCTTTTTTCTTAGTATTTCAGGCCAATTCAGTTTTTGATTGCTAAAAAGGTTACTGCTGAAGCCAATCAGGTAAAACAGCATTCTACTTTCCCAAGCTCCTATTGGCTACCTAAGCTGCAAGCCCTTACCACTGCTAGCCAATCAAAAGCAGAGATTTATAGCTGTGTGGTTTTAACTAAATGATTGACATTTCCTCAGGGCATGGGCTACCTCCATGCTAGAGAGATCTTACACAAGGATCTGAAGTCCAAGAACATCTTCTTGGAGAACGGCAAGGTTGTCATCACTGACTTTGGCCTCTTCAGTGTTACCAAGCTCATCCAATATGGAGAAAGGTACTGTGCTTCTTTGTTTTTAAATCGCATTGAATTGATGTATTTTACACTACACCCATATCATATCCTCTAAACATTTTTGTCACCTTTTGGCTTCATGTCGAAAATATAAAATGTGTCATGCTTTTTCGGTTTGGTATCCAATATGTTTTAGTGTGGCAGAACTTTCTATGCATCCTCACTTAGGACAGAGTATAATGGTAGTTGAACACACCAGTGAGCTAGACCTCTGCTGTACTGCTTGCACAGCTGTGTGGCCCAAGAGCTGTGCAAGCTCTTGAGTGTAGCAGCATTTGTACACAACAAACAAAATGTACCATTTTGCTCTGCCACAATTTTTGAATTGTGTACATTTCATTTTTTCAGGAAAGACGACACACTGGCCATACCGCCGGGATGGTTGCCGTACTTGGCGCCAGAAGTGATCACGTCCCTCCGAGCCACTAGTCAGTACACGGACAGTGACCTGCCATTCTCACAGGCTTCAGATGTCTACGCCTTTGGGTTAGTGGAATAAGAATTTTGCAAAAGTACAAAATGGAATTATGCAGGTTTTTTTCTAGAAAAATTTAGCACGTGGGAGCAGATTTCAAGCATAGCTAAGGAGTGAAGCAAGGGGGATTTTTTAATGAGAGTGACACACTTTCTAATCATTATGCTAGAATGTATTGTTTTTACATTTGTACTGGAAAAAGATCATTTTCTCTCCCCCCTCATTTAGAACGGTGTGGTACGAACTCCTGGTGGGAGACCTGCCTTTCAAGACTCAGCCGGCAGAGTCCATTATCTGGCAGGTGGGGAAGGGTCTACGACAGTCGCCCAGCAATGTGCAGAGTAGGGATGCCAAGGTACGAGTGTCTGTCCATCTGTGTGTCTGACTGTCTGTCCATATGTGTGTTTCTGCTATTCTCAATTACACAATTCAGCGTTATCATACATCCTCAATACTGATATTTTTGTTGGCGGGATATGAATGGGTGACTAAGTATGGGGAGTGGGCTGGAGTCTGCCATCTCTGATTTCCTTCCTATTGTTTTTGCTCTGTGTCTTCTTCCTGTTCTTCTTCCTCTTCTACTTCTCCAAACAAATAAGGTCAATGACCTGAACCAGATGTCTGTCACCATGGCAACTAGTGTTGGGTTACATCATGTTGCACGCTATAGTAGGAGGGATTTAGACTCCTGTTTGACCAAATATATGAAAGTGTTTGAGTAAGAATTAACAGAGCAAACCATATGCAAAGGTAAACATAATGCATTTGTTTTTACCTTAAAATTTCTAGTTTTGACTGTAGTTTAATCTCCACCCTGTAGGATATCCTGATGCAGTGTTGGAAGACCCAGCCTGACAAGAGGCCCCAGTTCAGCGACCTGACGCAGACGCTGGACAGGTTGCCACGGAAACGGCTGACCCGCAGCCCGTCCACACCTCTGCACCTCTCACGTTCAGCAGAGTCCATCATATAAACTTCACACACACATACACACACCAGGCATGTCGGCAGAACGTACTGCACCTATGCGAAACCCATAATGTATTGTGCACAGCACTTCAGCAGAACGTCTAATGTAAGGCCGAATTTGCGTATATAAGGTTAACATCTGGTCTGTAGTTGCCAAATGTTGTATCGGAAAAATATCCTTTGCAACAGGCAAAATTGAATGTAACGGTGACCAAAAATCCAATGAAAACTGTGAAAAATCAGGGTTTCGTGCAGGTGCAGTACGTTCTGCCGATGTGCTCATACACTGAGTGGGCAGAGTGCTGGGCGTCTTCACTAGTTCTTCATGACAAACCCAGGGCTCCCTCCAGATGTGAACCCTCTTCCGTTCTTTCAGTTTGAGAGTAAATCTCTTGTCTTGAGCACCAAAAGTGCAATGGATCTATAGTGTCTGTGGGTATGCTCTCCTAGAAAATATGGAAATTTTACCCCTCTGAAACATAATTTTCTGCATTGGAAAAAGGGGCAATTTCACATGGCTTCATCCTGTGACACTGTTCACTACTGGATGACAATGTCGTGAAGGTTTTGTGTTAGCTACGGTCAGTGGTAATGGGATGGTTACAATTTTTGTTCTGAGCAGCAAAATTCTGTCCAGGAACGGGAGAGTGGGCACTGGAGAGAGCCCTGGTCCAACTCACCTATTCTGCTGAATCATGGTATGTTCTTGCTTCATAATTCCCACTCCTGAGATTCCAACCTGGAACTGAGATCTTCATTAAATCCATCTTACAAATCACAACAGATAACTTAAATGCTTTGTCACAACAATACACAAACCAAGAAAAAGATATTTTCCCGTTAATAGCATATTAATATTATAACATAACTGATACATTTGTGTTCTTGTTTTACAACAGTTGCCATATCAAAATAGTTTGGGTAGAAAAACACATAGTGGATGGAAAAAACATCCAGTGGCCTATATGTATATACTGGCATAACATATCTACACTGCTCTTAAATGTATAGGTCAACTTTCAGCAAGAAGAATACTTTCTAAAACTTTCTTGACAAGAAGACGCTTTTGAATGAAGTTAAACTTAGATTTAGATGTTGTGGACAGAATCGTTCAGCTTTTTTTTAGTGCAATAATGGCAGAAGCCTTTCCATCTATTGTCCGGAAAGATATTGAGAGAATCATTTAAAGACCTGTATCATACACGTGCACATACATGTATTTATGTACTGACACATGGCATACAAACGACAGCCTATCTGGGTAAAAAGGAGACACTCTTCTACTGATCCAGTGTTGCTGGCTGCATGTACATGTAACTCCCAGCACCAACACATAATCACACATAGACCACCAGCATTCTGTCACACCAAGTACTCACCACTTACTACTGCCTTAGTTCCAGCTACAATATTGTGCTGTCTAGTTGTAAGAACCACTACCAAGACTGGGCAAGGAAGACAGTGTACAGACATGTAACACTCATCTAAGTACTTAAAGACATCACCCCTCGTCTTCAAATTCTTGGAAAGACAAAGGTTTTCTCTGTTCCAACCCATAAAAGTTTCTACAAAAATGTAGCATTATTCAAATTATTAAAAACCTTCATTTTTGTGAGCTGGCCCCCGAAAAACTTTCAAAGTTTTTGTTTTTCTTTTTAAAGAGAATACATATTTACACCTTACACTATTGCAACATCTTGCTAAGAAAGAAAAATTGATTTTAATATTTCTTACAAAAAATACTCATTGCATTGTCATTAACAATCAGCTCCAAGTGGTGTAACATCTTTCTTGAATATTCTGCCCAAAATATTTTGTTTGAAAAAAACATAACCTAATGTCTGACTTGTCTAGTCTTGTATTTACTCAAGTCAAAGAAAGGGCTATTTGACATGATCTTGTAGAATGTTAGCAAACTTAAAAAAGCTTCCAAGATATCCTAGATTTCTACCATGCTGGATGATGAGTAGCTAGCTAGGAAGAAAACAAAACAAAAAAAAAGAAAACTAGTAGCTAATAATCATTGTAAATAATTGAATAGTCATCATTGTAATTATGTCCAGAAAGTTTATCATGATGTTGATAACAGTGAAAGAAATATTGAACGGACAGATGTCAAAAATAAGGTACAGAATTGTGCAGAAAAAAAAAGAAGTGCAGGAATATGCTTGTAAACTAGATAAAATTGTACTGCAACTAGAAAAAAATCAGTGTTACAAATGCACTCAGAAATGGCAAGTATCTAATAGGTGTTCCTGTTTTTTATACAAAAAATGATAAATGGGTATAGGGAATGTAGCTAAAAACTGTTCATTGCGAATTTGAATGCAGAAAAAAATTAGCTGGCAGAACTTGATGTATTGAAGTTGTTGCATACTTTCATGACTTGTATGGTAAATGTGGTTGTTAATTGTGCTCCCTAGGAAAAGTGAGTGAAAAAAGGCAGATTTTTAATTGTAAATATTATGTACTAATCAAGCAGGGTTTTATTACGATTTTAATTGGAATTTGTGGCTGCTGAATGCCATGTATGGGCCATAGTTACGTTTTTTATATTCTCACTAAGACTTTCCATTTATCAATTACATATAAGTGGATGGTTTGGTTTACATGAGTCATAAAACCACAGCTTTCACAAGATATTCCTTTTATGGAATGTTACGTTCACTTTTTAATGTAATTTATGTCACAAATGCAACAATATAAGATGAATTTTGTGATTTTATACCTTTGAAATTCGGACAAAACCCTCACAATTTGTAAAGAAATGCTGACATCAATACGTTAATTTAAGACCCTGTTTAAATCTTACAAGCCTGTGCCACTTTGGTGTATAATTAATTGAACTTAGGCATTTTTATAATAATTTACTTTTTTCCTGCACCTGGCTAAGTTATTGTTTTATGTAAATATTGCCTACAGTTTTTTTCATGCATACTGGGTAGAGTTATGCCACTGGGATGTAAATTGACACTATATTTTTGTCTTCTGGAGAGGCCATTGTAGAACGTGCTAGATAGAATTTGCATTTTGCTGTTGCTCGGAAGCAGCAATTAAAGTCAAACAGGCAGATGGACAATGTGTGTTGAGTCGGAGTCATGTTTGTGTGTCGCTATTGGGTAGGGTTGTGACTGTGGGAACCTAAAGGCAGATACCAATGTTGTGCCCTTGGCCAATTGGGAACCTGTTAAAAGCCTATGGCGTCTATACACAAGCGACATAGACGACTCAAAGTCAGGAGTTTAGGAAGCAAGCAGTGGAAGGCCTAGAGGCAATAATGAATAGACAGATGCATGCCCATGCCCTCGGAAGAACCTCCTACAAGGCTCATCAAAGGTCCACCTTTTATCTTTAGGTCCAAGATTTTTCCTATAAAAGATGTACTAATTCGTATCACAAGTGCGCCTGAAATTGTAGAAAAACTGCTCACTTTAAATTTGTCATTGAATAAAAAGTAATGTCTGATCTTTCCTTTGAAACTCTCTCAAAAACGTAGGAAATGCCATTTCAGAAGGTTCAATGTTCAAAATTTTCGGTGCGTTCCCCCTTGGGAAAGTTAAAATCGAAAAGTTATGCTGCAGTACTATAACAAGTCGCTATGGAGCCTAAAATCTACTTTTGAGGTCTCATCAAAGGGGTTTAAAATCTTGTATTTAACCTTCCTGGTCTCATGAAGACCTGACCTGACCAACTCGTCTTCAAGTCGTACTCATTTGTTTTGTGAGAAGCATGATACCAACAAAGTATCTGCTCAGTCTAAATTTCGCGGTAAAGGGATTGCAGACAAGCCAAATTTGGATATGGCAGTAACTATAACATATTATAGTAACCAAATTTGGCTTGTCTACAATGGCTAAGCATATCCGACGTGTCTCAAGAATAGACATAATTTTCTGAACCTGAAGCCAGACCACGCAAAGGCCGCCATCGCGGAGGAATTTTATCCCGTCTGAAACGAAGACGCATATGGACAGTAGAAAAAGAAATCAACAACTAACTTTATTGCCAAAAGAAAAGCAGTAAATTTTAGCGAAACAAAGGAACCAAAAGGAGAGGACCAAGGAGTTTAAACCTCCTGAGAGGAGGACCAATCATTTTTCCCGCGTCTTTACCACGGAATGTTTATGCCGCAAAACTGTTTCCTAGAAAATTCCTGCCTGTAAAAAACGTGTAACCATTGTCCCCTAAATTTATGTATGATAAATAATGTTACAAACACAATACAGGATCATCTTGTATCATTTGTCTCCTATAATCTTCTGTACATAGATTCACAATATGCGATTAAATCAGACTAATTATTGAGAAAATGATAACGGCACCAGATCAGGTTGTAACAGACACCTAAGTGAGTATTCTACAAATGTGGCTCCACTTCCGGGTTCACGCAGTGTTGCCCTCCCTCACGTCTTGGCATGCCAGCGTGACTGTTTCCCTCTTCCCCGTCTGTCCTCACGTTTCATGTCACAGACCGTCCACCAGGTAAACATCACACCTGCCCAGGCGGATCGATACTTTTACCTGATTGAACAAGCCTTTATTTGAGTAGGAGGAGTCGTTTTGTTTGAGCATGAGTGCCAAGGATCAAACCCAGCAACAACAACAACAGCCCGGCGGGTCTAGTAGCTACTCCTCGGGAGGGACGGGCACGAGTAGCATGGAGACTCTCGGCACGCAGGACGTCATCGACGGGGAACACTTCGAGGAGGAGGAGGCCGAGCCGCTGTGGGGCCGGCTGTTCCCTGTAGGCTCAGCGTTTACGTCGCTAGGTGAGATCTAGAGAGTGTTTTCTTGCTGCACGTGGGAAAAGGGGGAGGGGCGCTTACGTTGTGTGTCTTATAATTAGTATCATCGTTGCGTTGTAGTGGTTTGATAATCTTCAAGTAGATGTACGTTAGGGTTGCATTCTAGTATCGCAATGTTTTCCAATTGCTGTCTTTCTGATTGACAGCTATCAATCAATCCCAACTGTCAGAGAAGCGGGGCAGTTAGAAAACGTTAACGCTCTTCCACCCCAAACGTCTGCTTGGAGGTTATGGTTGTGATTAAAACAGCGTTGTTGTGTGTTTTTGTTTTCGTGGTCAGATGAATAATCATATGTATCTACTAGTATTTCTCATTGAAATTTACAAACAGATGTTTGTTTACAAACAAATGATACCCGTTGTATATTTTACTGATGTTTATTGATTGATTAACCCCTATTCCTGATCAGATTTAATTGAGGAGGAGTACAAATTTGGCCGAGACTCCAAGGCGAATTACAGTTTTGACTCTCCTGCTATCAAGAAGAGCATGTACTTCCAGGCTTACAGCAAGAATCACTTCAGAATCTACAGGGTGAGTCTTTAAAATTATGCTGTTTTCTGCTCTCTTTTTCAGTTGTTCACTCTGTATGTATCCATTTATAATTAAGATATTTGTTATTATTATTTTTACAAGATATTATTACAAGATATAACCAGTCACACTGTCACAGTCCTTAGGACGGGACATTAAGCCGTGGTCATTGTGCTTGGGAAAAAGAGCCAGGGGAATTTCCCCTTTACAATGAACCTTTAAATGTTGTACATAGTGTTCTTCTCTGTCACAACCAGTGGAAGATTAGCTCTTCAATGAGCTTAAACTGGTTCGAGATCACTTTCACTTTCACTTATCTTTAACAACTTGCTTCTGTCCAGGAGAAAGTGTCCGACACCTGCTATAACGTGTTCCTGGAGGATACCAGCTCTAACGGCACCTTTCTGAACGGGGACAAGGTCGGCAAACACAAGAAACAGCTGCTGAGGAACAATGATGAAATAGCTCTGGCCATGAAGAAAAACAAAGGTCAGTTATAGGACATGTAGAAGTGGAAGTGAATGAAATAACATCTGCTTATAATAAAAAAGTTCAGGTTAGTGCAGGTAAAATTGTGATAGGATATAGGATTTTCTTTTACACAGCCAGTATTGTTTCATACCTTACGTTTCGATGTCTATCAGACACCTTCCTCAGAGACCCCGAAACATAAGCAAGGTACTGAAGACAATACTGGTTGTGTAAAAGAAAATCCCTCTGTTCTATGCTTTACCAACCTGATGAAACTATTTTTGGAGGTAAAAATTGTGCTTTTCACATCTTACACATAATCTGTACTAACAGGTCCATGATATAGAATCACCCTTTGATACTAGGATGACATACAGACAGTAGTGACATTTTTTTGCAACAGCTGATAACAAGACTTGAAACAATGTTGTTAGGAACATTTTCAAAACAGAGAAAACTGGTTACTAAAACTTCACACCTACAATTTCACTGGGTATTAGAGTCTGACCCTGTTTGGATTTATACTGACTGTTGCCTCTAATTATCTTGATGTCTTCTTCCTAGCTTTTGTTTTTATGGACATGAACGCTAATGAAGATATGAGTCTACCAGAGGAGCTGAGACGAAAGTACACGCTGTCAAGATTTCTGGGGAAGTGAGCATTGAGTTGTCTTGTCTTAATGCTATTATAACAATAGAAATTAAGAAAATCCTATCCTCAGGTGGACATGATTAAGTTTAGGCAAAGTTCTTGATCGAAATAGCGTTGTTAAGTTTTGAAAATTGTGATTTATTATGAAATGTCTGGATAATAAATCTTGCACCCTTCTCCCCCCTTCCAGGGGAGCATGTGGAGAGGTCCGACTGGCTTTCACCAAAGGAACATGTCACAAGTTTGCTGTGAAGATTGTCAGCAAAAAGGTCTTCACTATGGGTGGCAGGAACCAGAGAGTGAGTAGAAAATGTAGTAATGATGTTGGTGATGTTGTGATTGTGTAAAATATATGGTTACATTATCTGCTCTTTCGATACAGATCAACAGGTATATTTACCTAGTAATTACATGTAAGGATTTTAATCTCAATTTATGCAATGCAAAAGCTAAACCTTGCAGCCTTAGAAGAGACACTATCTGCTGCTGTTCACTCCAAATTTCTCCATACAGTTTGAAGAGTACTAGTAAAGCTTACATCAACCAACTATACCTACAGAACTTGCTCATGTTAGAGAAACATAGAAGTTGTTTTGATTGATAAAAGAATCTTTACAATCACTTGGCATATCTTATACCAGTAGTATTCTAGACTAGAATTTGGAAAAATGATTCTTCAACAATACTGGACGTCCATTATTATATTAAATTTTTATTTTGATGTTGGATGGAGAAATGTTGTGATTCAGAGGGAATGATCTGTTTGCTTATCCCCAGGCCCTGGATCCAGAGAGAATCTTTGGAGAGGTGCAGATCATGAAGGCATTGAAACATGTGAGTCAATTCTTAAATTTAATTGGCTATACCTCAAGTGTATTTCGAGTCTATAAAAACATACATATATGAATGGTTTATTTCAATACCATTGTCACAAACATTGCGCATGTTACATAAAACATTGCGGTTTTATGTAACATGATTAAGACATACGTTATATGTGTACATATAAAATATGGAGTAAAAAGAGTTCCAAAAGTGTAGCTGCATATTTCATGTTTTTATTTCATCTTCATACATCAGCAGTAACGTTTGTTAAGTTGTCAGTCCAGAAACACTGAATGAGGCAAGGCAGCAAGGAAACATTAAAAGGGAGAGAATATACATTTTTGTAATTTTGAGTAAAAATACTCTTGGGTGGCTGTTACAATCTTTTTCATTTTCTTGTTGGATCAGCCCTTGGTGAAGATGATTTTGATACCTTTATTAACAAAATATATTCCTGTCTGCAGCCCTGTATTATCAAGATAGAAGATGTGATAGACACTGAGGATACCTTGTACATAGTATTGGAACTGTAAGTCTCCTTATGTACAATGATTGTGCTTCTATAGTTTAAGTGTACTTAGTATATTGAATTCTTAGTGATGACATGAGTGCTATGCATACACAGCCAGTTTTCAATGCTAGTAAGTTGTCATGTTTTTACAACTTACTGTAGCTATTTAAGGCTTCTTATCATTGTTCATGAAATTATGATGACATAGACTGTTTCAAACTCTAATAGTGACCATTTTGTGGGACTCAGAAAAAATATGTCAGAACTATGTTTATGTACCACACCAAGCCATTCCTAGATGTGCTATTCACCTTGTAAGGCTGATATGTGTTAAAACAATAGTATACTAGAATATTATAAGCAGATACAATGTCATGTGTAAAATTCGAGTGATTTTACTTTGTGACACTTGACCAGGGTTGAAGGTGGAGAGTTGTTTGACCGTGTGGTGTCGCTGGGCCGCTTCACTGAGCCAGTTGCCAAGCTGCTCTTCTACCAGATGTTGGTGGCAGTCAAGGTAACTAGTCTGGATTTATCATCATTTTCGAAACTGTTTGAAAATTTCTCCCTGTTTAGATCTGTTAAAAATAGAATCAAGAGGTGTTTAGAGTTAAAACTTCCTTGAAGTGTGACATCAACATTGGGTCAAAAGTATCCAGTGTTGATGTCACACTTCAAAGCAGTCACGTGACAGGTCTCATGCACTGGGTCAGTCTACTGATGAAGACCAGAGTTACTGGTCGAAAGCTCTAGGTGAGAGAACTTCTTTGTGTTGGATCAAAAGTTTTGACTTTAAACATGTAACTACCAACACAGATGAACTTTCATGAGAGAATCAACAGGTGTTTTAAAATAAAGGTTGCTTATGATGGCACTCTTTATAGAAATTACCTGATGTGGTATCAATGTCTCCTCCATGAATTCTATTATAAAGGTATAGAAACTCAAGTTAGATTGTTTTCTTTCCATTTTTTTTTCAGTATTTGCACGAGCAAGGAATCACACATAGAGACTTGAAGGTAAGTGCACTACTGCCCCCTTGCATATGTAGCTTAAACTGCAGCATTACACCTTAAATGTGTGCAGCTGACCTAAAGAATTCAAGCTTTCAACCATTTATAGTCAAAGCATTGTGGAGTCAGTTAACATTCACAAGGCTTTTGCAGATTCATTTTCTTCTTTCCTTGCAGCCAGAAAATGTGCTCCTTGGCTCTGATGACATGGAGACCATCATCAAGGTAAACCTTAGACCTCCAATAAGACTCGGTCCCATTTACAACTCTGCTAGTAAAACATTTTTATCTTACTGATATACTTTTAAGCACTCTGATAGATCCACCCCCAAAGAAAGATACATTTTGTACAGACTTTCCTTGCAAAGGTAGTGAAAGTCAAATAGGCACAGAATGTATTGCATGAAATTGTTACACTTTGAGTCTGCCTTTGCAGGTCTTCGTGTGCCTGCAGTTCTGTCATGTGTCAGTAGGTGTTCCTCTTGTCAAAATGTTGTTGGAACTTGCCCCTGATGCACAGACAAGTGTTCTCAGGTCTGGACAGGAAAAAAGTAATTATAAATGAAGAATGTGAGTAATTTTAATTTAAAATCACCAGGATAAAGATGACAAAATCAAAACTATCAGGTAATCAATAGAGATTCCTCAAAGAACATTACAGGTCTACATCATGAATCATAAATCAAAACTGAAAAGGATAAAAAAACATGCAAACAGCAGAATCATACAATGTAAATTTTGTTCATCAGGTGACAGATTTTGGTCTGTCCAAGTTTGTTGGGGAAAACTCCCTGATGAAGACCCTGTGCGGCACTCCGAGTTACCTGGCTCCAGAGGTGCTGAGAACTGCCGGGATGGGCGGCTACACCAAAGCTGTGGACTGCTGGAGCCTGGGGGTCATCCTATTTGTCTGGTAAGTGAACATCTAAACTGCCTTTTCTTTAGTACCGGTTTTATGTAGCACTGGTAAGTATAGTCATGATTGCCACCTAGCAGATTAGGACTGAAGTGCATCGATACTGTTGACTTGGGCAATTTTTATGACATTCTTTCAGCATTGAGATTTTCTTTATCAAATGTAGTCATCAACTCTTAAATCCCTTTTAATGAAGCAATTTCCATGCCATCATTTTCTCAATTATCATAAAATGATCAGCACCTGTCATTGCTATATGTAAAGACAGAAACCATGTCTGAAAGATAATTCAGCACTTGAAAATTATAGCAAAACTAAATCACAAATTATTTTCTTAACTCCTTTAGGTCCAAGTTCAGGAACCTGTACCTATAATAGTAAATGATAATAGGTTCATAGCCTTTCATCCAAGTTTGCATTGCCAACTGAGAAAATTACTGTGGGAGTACGATGCTCCTGGGACTGCACCCCAGCTTGTATTTGCATCTTGACAAATGAGAACACCGTCGTATCAACCCATCCAAGAAGCAAACACTAATCTCCGAGAAGACATAGGAGGCTTCTGCATGTACAATGCGAATGCTGCGATAAAAATGGATGATATGTGATGGCGTCCCACAATCTGCCTCGCCAGATATTCAGTTAGGTGATCTTTTGTAGAAGCAGGGTCAACACCCTAAGGGTGTCACGCGGCACGTAATCCGTTTATATCCCTAAGGCAAGCATTTGTTTCTGCCGTAAACATGGTTTAAATCATAGGATTGACCTTTCAGGGTGTTGTGCTCTTACCTTGTCAAAACAGCTTGGTGCGATGTACATTACTAATCAAGATTAACAGGTGATTATTTTTCGTTCATCAAACAAACACGTCATAGCGAAAAAGGCAGTATGTCTTGTCACTGTTATATGAAAAATTACACCTGAAATGTGTATCCTTAAGGATCTGTTTCAATTAAAGTTTTAATAAGTAAATACTAACCCAGGTGGATTCCTGCCACGCTCCAGTGTCCCTTTGCATTTGCAAATTGAATTTAAGATGTCAGAACTGGTAGGAGCTTCTCTCCCCTGTCAGTGGTACCTGCCTACAGCGCCCCTCCTCTTGATCCCAGGGTACCCTCTCAGCCTTGATCCCAGGGTACTCAACCAGCATACAAATTTTGGCTGACACCTCAGCTCAAGCAGCATCCTCACTGAACGTATTGATTTAGTTTTAGAATTATTTACTATTTTTAGATTCAATTACATTTTATTTATTTGTGTTTGTGTGTATGTGTGTGTACGTATGTGTAGGGATGGGGAGGAGGGTTGTGTGCATGTTTGAAAAGAAGAATGAAACAGAAAAAGTTCCAAAGGAATTTTGATAAGTGTATTTGATTCTTTCAGTTTATGCTGGTCAACAGAATTGCTTCATTTTTAAGTGAAATACTAATTTTTATCCTCAGGATTTCCTGATAGTTGAAACCAAACAACCCCACATAACCTTGATTAAATCATGATCCCACAATTCCTCTTCCTTTTTCCATCCTGTGTGCTGCATGTCTGATCTTAGCATGCCCCCCTCCCCCTCGTGCTGCCTATTTTCAGCACATTTTGGTAAATCCTGCAATTATTGTGATCACCCTCCATGTGAAGATAACAATTCGTTACGGGGAAACAGGGATGTGTTTCTTCTCTCACTTCTGAGATAATCTCCGGGCCTTATTACACACGACTGCCTCAGAAGTAATCCTCGAAATCTCCCCGGGTTTTTCCCGAACCAAATACTACAATTAGAGAATGTGCGTCGTGTAAAGTGCCTGTCTATCACCCGTAATCAGGACGTGCTGCAAGCTTTCGGAAAGACCCGGCCCAATCAGGGGCTCAGCGCGTTCCCCTGTAACCAGGGTCAACACTTGTCTGTCAGTGTGAAGTAGTGCGCCCACACCAGAATGGAACAGAAGGGAACTTCTGAATAGAAACTCAACAGGCTTTTTTCACATCCGTGGCTATTGCTTAATCATTAACTGTTGATAATTTGAGTTTGAAAATGGACAATTACAGTGAGTCCTAGCTAGCTATTAGATGGAGTGGACTATTACAGGTTTAATGTATCATAGAAAAATCTTTGTAGATTCAGACATGTTCAACAAACTGACAGGCACTTTCAGCACCAAAGAGAGGACCATTGGAAAGCACATGATATCTTCATACATTTGAAACTTATCTTTTCAGGGATAACATTCTACTCCCATCATGAATTTCCAGATGAAAGGTGCTCGGTTTGGCATGAATATACATGTAGTAATAAATGTGCTCTTGTAATATCGTCTAAGATTTTAACCCTTGTGAAACAGGAGTCTTATTTGCATTGGAAACTTGATAATTTGAGTTTCAAAATGGTCAGTTACAGTCACACTGTGAGTCCTATTAGACAGTCTGGACTATTACAGGTTTAACTGGAAAATCTTAGTAGATTTAAACATGTACAACAAACAGACAAGTATTTTCAGCACCAAGGAGAGTACCATTGCAAAGTAAATGATGTCTGACACTTTTGAAGGATTAACCTTCTACTCTCATCATAAAAGGTGCTTAGTTTGGAATGGGTATGCTAATATGTAAAATGTGTTCTTATAATCTTGCCTAAGTTTTTAACCCTTGTGAAACAGGAGTCGTATTTGCATTGGAGACAATGAATTCAGGAGCCTGTTGACTTTGTTTTATCATTAAAAGTACTGTTTTGCCTTCTTAAATTTGTCGTACTTGCAATTAAAAAGTGTATACTTCATATCAACCTTTTTTTTGCTGACAGAGATGGCTTTTTTTGTATCCAGGTTGTATTGGTTGTAAATGTAGGCCGCAGGGAGAAGTTGAAGGTGAAACTTTGAATATACACTAAGTGTCAATATTCAGCATGACTTTTATTCAACAGTGTCAGACTCCACGGCACCGTGATGTTATAGACCCTTTTGTAGGATACTACACAGGAAGTCCACAAAGACGTTGATTTGCAATTACGCTTCTACTCCAGACCCTTAGATCAGATAGGGCTAGTGGTTTTCCCAGAGGACACATACATGTAGCTGTAACAAGTTGGAATCTTATGATGATAAAGTTTCAGTCATATTTATGAAGAGTTTTAGACCAGCTTAAAGGAAAGTAAAGCCTGGAATGGGCTGCTTTGTCAAGGGATCATTGAATGCAAGTCCACAAATTCAGGGCTTTGTTCACAGCCTTTGCTCTGTTGTGTGATTGGTCAGGTTTTCTGAAGAAAAGATAGTAATGATAAATGTAATAGGCTTTTCAAAATTAAAATAAAATGACTGACAGACCCCTAGGTTTACCTGAGACTGAATAATAATATTATATAAAAGAAAAATGAAATCATATCACAGGTTTATGTAAGCCCTCATTTTGTTCATTATTCTTTTGCCTGAAGACAAAGCTTTCACACTCTGAACCCCTTCCCACTGTGCCTTCTGGGGATTCCTTGAATCCTTTGAATCTTAAAGTGTTCAAGGCCTTATCTTCACAATCCTTTTCAGAGGAGAGGATTTGTACTTGGAAAGATGACAGTCTATCATTGTGGATCTTCAGTCCCTATTATATAATAGAGAGGATGTTCAAGGGTTTAGATGTAGAGGTGTCATGAAAATAGGGAGACAGTGTAAGTCAATCTGATTTATTGCATCATACACTTTTTTAAAGCCTGACTGGAAGGAACACTGTAAAGTTTGATAGAGGATCGCTTCAAAGTTTGATACCAAGTGTTGTATCCAATCATTCTATCCATGCAGACAAGGTGTGAATTTCTTCTCTTTGTGACTGTATATATTCCACTCCCCTAAATATAGACAATTTTGCTATAATGACATGCATCTCTAAGGATTTCATATGAAGCAAGTAAGCATATGAAGAATGTATTTTGTTCATGACTTGAATTACTTGATTTTGAATTATGTCAAGTGCCAGTTCATGTGAATCAGCATAAATGATGTTACAAGAATGATATTCCCAGTGTTCACCACTGATGCACCAAGTATTCTGGTATTCTATATATTCTAATTATACCATGTTGCTGTATGAAGTTGATTAAAGTAGATTAAGATAACATTGCTAGAAATTGCAATTGCAAGGATTGATGTGCTTGCATGGCATCCTGACAACTTCCTGGTACTAATAACTGCCAAACTAGGAAGCCAGATACACAGATACTGATAGCATCTTTCATACATCCAAAAAGTTTACTTATTATTACAAAAATGAAATTACAAATAAGAGGTTCGATGATTATTTTTGCGTATTTAATGTGAGTGTAAGAAATTTGTGACAGTATGTAAATTATAGTTTATAGGATCGTAATACTTTTAAGAAGAAACAGTTCTTTGAAAGAACCCTTAGCTAATATTCACACTGGTTTCAGAAAAAAACATATTTTTATAGGCCAACAGTGCAAGATATTACCACGAATGTTGCTTTTCATTGCTTCCTTTAAATTCATAAAATACCATGCCTGGAGTTTCAGAGTTTTTTATGTTTTACCCGGAACTTTAGTTTATTCTACATGAAATTGTGGATTGTAGGCAGGGATTTTGCTTCATGACAGATGTAAGTACTTTTCCACAGTTCCTTTCTGTATTATCATCTGAGACGGATACTTAAACTGTCTTATCATGTCTCCCAGACATTCCTATGGGCATGTTAAGGGTCGTTCCATGGGGTGTGACGATCAAGAAGAGAATTAATACCTAAGGTAGCGTAACAAGATCTGTTAAAGCGCCGGGGGTTCTCAGCCATCACAGCTTCAAACAACATTTCACAGGGTTCGGTTTATGTTCCGTTGTAAAAGTAACATTCTGAATAGATTTTTCACTCAGGAAGAATGACTTTTAAGATAAATCAGTGCATAGCTGCTGGGTAGCTGTAAAGGTTGGTGCCAGATTGTATTGTAAATTCGTGTGATACAGTATTCTGTTGTATGTTTATGGTACCAAACAGTTTTAAAGTCCTGATCTTAG